CGTTTTTACTTTTCATTTTTAATCAAAAACTTTTAATAAAAGTTATATTAAAGTAAGGAAACATAAAAAATAATGTCCTAACTTTATATTGAAATAAGAAAAACGAAGTATTTGGTATTGTGGTTTTACCTCCTCCGGCTAATTGCCACATTGAGGTCACTTTGCTAGAAGTCCGCAAAGACTAGTTGAGCTCCCGAAGGAGCGTCATACCCGCTCTGCGGACTGAGAGTAAAGTGAGTTTGGGAAGAACGAAGATATGTTAGAGTGAAAGATAGAAGTACTCGAGTTAGAAAGATAGCATAGAGTAAGCGGACAGGATTGCACACGATGTTAGAGAGTGCAATACATACTGTTAGTTAGGTCACCTAACTAATGTACGACAAAGTTGTGATTAGAGTTCACATTACATGATCTCTTTCTCAACTTTCTTTGTCGTCGAAGTATTTATAAGTATAAAAAGTATTTATAAGTATAAAACGAAGTATTTGTAAACATTTCTGAACAAATGTTTTTTAAAAAACTGGAGTATTAACAAGTTTTAAATAAAAACCTGTTTCTACTTGTGGTTAGAGGTTATTAAATGTGGTGGGTTAAAAAGGATTTTTTTAGAGTAAACTTATATTTACTTTATCATTAAGTTCATTGATATTGTGATATACGCATATCTCAAAATCAACGTTACTTTGTTACTTATACTGTGGACGTTACTGTATATACAGTAACGTTCTAAAGTTTAAGGAAATTCACCTATTTCCTTATAAGTTTTGAACGACGCATTTACTTTTTTCATTATAAATTTTGAACGATGCATTCACTTATTTCGCTTTAAGTTTTGAACGACGCATTCACTTATTTCGCTACAAGTTTTGAACGATACATTCACTTATTTCGCTATAAGTTTTGAACGACGCATTCACTTATTTCGCTATAATTTTTGAACGACGCATTTACTTATTTCGCTATAAATTTTGAACGATGCATTCACTTATTTCGCTATAAGTTTTGAACGACGCATTTACTTATTTTGCTATAAATTTTGAATGATGCATTCACTTTTTTCGCTATAAACTTTGAACAATGCATTCACTTATTTCGCAATAAATTTTGAACAATGCATTCACTTATTTTATTTAAGCAGGTGTTGCGCAGTGGTAGCACACTTGTTTCAGAAACAAAGGATCCCAAGAATCAAACCCCACCTCTGGGCAAGTTTTACGACATTGGTTAGGAAGGTGTGAACTTCTAATAAAATGCTTATCCGCGGTACTCTGTAATAAGACCGTAAGGACTTAAAAATTAAAAAAATTAAGAAAAATTCCTGGTAAAAATGTTCAAAATTTATAATGAAATAAGTGACTGTACCTAAATTTTAGGACGCTACTGTATATTGAGTTAGTATGAGTTTATTATATTAATTTCAATAACTTTAAATGATTGTTTGTGGAACTGCTGGAGCTCTTTTTTTTGCTGCAATACAATTGCAAATTGCAATACAAGAAATCAAAAAATGAGGCAAATATCAATATTTTATTGTTTTTTACGTAGCTAAGTCTTTTATTGCTTGAATATTAACATTCATTGTCGAGCTGTTACCATAGTAATAGTATTATTGTCGTCAAAATATGCTTTGTGTGATTAAAGATAAGTTTGCACAAGATACGTTCAAAGGTTTTGCACAGAAAAAATTTAATAGCTCCATTAGAAAGTGGGTTTGCTACAAAGACGGATGGGGGGTAGATGCTTACAACGCTCCCCCCCCCCCCCCCACGAGAACCTGAAAGTCCTGAAATATCTTGTAGAGACGCAAATATGATACAAAATAAAAAATTATTTCAACATTCAACCCAAAACCCTTTTCTTATTCTGCAGCTTTCATAGTAAAACTTAATTTTAGAAACTTTTATATTTTAATCTTATTATATCAAAAATTAAGGTAATGGCTTACAAAAATATTTAAGGTTAAATGTAAAAAACTAAAAAAATAATCCGCAATTAAGTTTTCTTTCGAAAAGCGAAGAAATATAGTAGAAATGAAACCAATAGGAAAAACTTTTTTTTTTGTTATATAGCCTAAATTAATGAAGTGCAATTATTATTTAGCTGTGATTTTTAAAACTTTACTATATCTACATTGCATTATTTTTAATTTACATCTTAAGGACCAACAAAACTATTGACAGATGTGTCATTACACTGAAGATGAGCCTGCTGCAGAGTTGGTATTAAAATTATGGCTAAACCTCACGTGGTATTTGGATCCGTTAACCTTCGAGCTGGTGTTGGCATCTTCTGACAGAAATCACTTCATAGAAATGGAAAAGATGGCAAAAGTACTTTATTCAACTCAAAGTAAGGTCCAAAAAGATGTAAAAACAGATAAAATCAAAGCAGAAATCCCTTCTTATGAAATTTTTACGTTCTTAAAGACCAACAACCAAGCCTTGAATTCTATATTTCACCAGAACCCTGGATGAAACTTCGTCATTTTTTTTTGGAAGGAGATTCCAGGATACAATGATTTTTAAACCATCTCAAATCTATCGAAGTTGTTAACAACTATCAGAACGAGCAGTGAAACTCATTCAAGATTTTGAAGAACAAGGAAAAGCTTCAAAACCTACTTCAAATAAAAAAATTATTTGAAAAAAACATTAAAAAAAAATGAAAAGTGGATAAAAAGATTCAGCTACCGCGCCTGCTCCTTTGCTGTTGGCATAACTCAAAACTATTTAAACTGTTCAAACAATTTTTATTTTAATCAGTAAACTCCTAATCCTTAAAAAATATTATTAATAATAATAAAAGTAATTAAAATGACTTCAGAAAATAACTAAAAGTTATTTTCTTAACCAGATTAGTGCACTAGACGTTTTTGATAGACAAAGGAAGTGTGAATTTCCTAGTCTAACGGTCTTTCGCAGAGCACTATGGTGAGACCATATATATATATATATATATATATATATATATATATATATATATATATATATATATATATATATATATATATATATATATATATATATATATATATATATATATATATATATATATATATATATATATATATATATATATATATATATATATATATGTATATATATATATATATAAATATATATATATATATATATATATATATATATATATATATATATATATATATATATATATTATAAAACCCATGTTTATCACGACTTTCAGCTAATCAGTTCTAGAGTGGTATGTATAATTCCACTATACATACCACAACATGTTTACGGAGGATAAATGGAATGCTAATATATAAGAACTGTTTAGGCTTTTGGGCGCACGACAAGCAAACACATTTACAAAGTTTGTCAGTAACTTTAACGCATTTAAGCATTCAATTGTGATCAAGGAGATTCAGATTTATCAACTTCAACAGCACTAGAGGTCGCCATTTTGAATATGTCATATGCCAACGAATTGCAAAGTTGTGTTTTGTAATAAACATTTTAAACTGTCAGACAGTCCATTCGCTTATTGTTTTGTGTATTTAGATTGCGTAAATTATTAGCTCAATGCGCAGCCTTGAATGAATCTTGATGCATGGCTGGAATCTAACGTCAAGCGGTATCAGTTTCAGTTTTGTATATATTACACGAGTTTTGTGTGTATTACATTCAAAACAATAAAGATAAAGTATTTTTTTAATTTTTGTCTAAAAGTAACTCGTTACAAAGAAAAAAAAGTCTAAAAAGTAAAGAAAGAAAAAGTAAAAGTATTGAATTGTGAATGTAACTCGTTACATGAAGAAGTTCTGCAAAATATTAAATCTGTTATCAAGATAAATAAGGTTGCCAATTAACAAAATTTACAAAAACAGATAAAATAAGATTTAATAATTAACAGAACTATAAACACAAAAAAATAGTTTTACTGCATGTATAATTATGACCAATTTTTTGTTTTTTTTTTTAGCCAAAAAAAACATAGTTTCTTTTATTAAAATAGCAAAAAAAAATTTATTCTTAAGAAGTTTAAACTTATGAAATTTCAATACAAATTTTTTACACATTTTTTTATACTTTCATGTAATTTACTGAATATATTTTAATTCGATTATGAATAATTATTAGTTATAAACCATTAAAACCTATTTAAAACGACGTTGATAAAAACAAAGAAAAAACGTTTTTAGTAATGTGAAAGCCTTCTTTTAAATAAATAAAAAAATACTTTGTAAATACTTTATTTATTAAGCAAGAAATGAATAGATCTAAAAAACTATTAATGAACTTTTGCAAAAAATAAATAACGAAAACAATACTTATCAATAAATAGGGTATTATTTATTGAGATCAAGAAAATATATATAAAAGCAAACACGTTTAAACATATAAGTAACAAAATGTTAAGAAGGTGCCCCGATCTTTAAAAAATACTACCCATTTTTATATTGTACCAAGAAAGTAATTCAGGTTTAAAATATAGTTATTTTTAAGTTATTATTTCTAAATTAATGGATTATTTCGGCAGAACCAACAGGTTTAAAAAATTGTTGAAAGTTAAGATCGTACGAGTACAAGTTTGGCTTTTTGTTAAGATTTTATTCATTTACAATTAATACTGTTTTAGTTTAATAAACAGTTGAACAAGAAAAATGACATTAAAAAATGTTTTAGATTTACTACGAAAGTTTTTTGGACACTGAATACTATATAATGCCATATGTTACTTATTCAAGTGGTATTTAACGTTTGGCAAATTTTGGCAAGTTAAAACAATGCTTTTACGGTTCTTGTTTAATTTCAATCAATAAAAAAGGTTCACCAACGAATTAATAAGATTTCTTCAAGCATACACTTGATTTTAGGTCACTAAATAAGATTTTCAAGATGGTAACTTTTTTATAAGCAAAAATGTTTTACGAAATAGAGAAATTTCTGTTGAAATCTTAAATAAAAAACGTAATCTTCTGTTTAAAAATTTATGAAAAAATTCCACTCACAATTCAAAACCATTGCTTGGTTTCGCTTTAAAATAGTTTGTCGCTGCATTTATGTGAAGAGTATTTTGTTTAGAAATTTTAAAACCTTTTGCTTGTGTATATAGGCAGTAAAAAAAATATTGAAAAATGGAAATGTTTTTATGTAAGTTTATTTTATTTTATACTATTTTGACATAAATTAAAGTAAAAAATTTTTTAGTATTTAACTTGCTTTAATTTTTGTTGAGTTTAATTAAAATTTTCTCAATATTTTTAATAAATGTATAAATTTTAATAAATACAAATAAAATAAAGACTACTAAAATAAAATCATTTAATTTACCGTGTCCATAAAGAAATTATCATAAAAACAATTAATATGAAATAATTTCTTAATTGGTACAATTCATTTAATTGAACACTTGAGTCTATTTCAAAAATAAAGTAATACAATAAGTCCGTTTCTTTTTTTTTTATATTTGAGCATTGCCTCTAAAAATGCAACCGTTAATGTAAAGCTGATTTTAGCTGAAAGGGAAGTAGATTATATCTACTAGATTTATTATTTCTTTCTTTTTAAATATTATTTTTGTGACAAAAATTAAGTATTGAAAATGTTTTTCCGACGTTGAGAAAAATTTTTTTATCCTCTTTTGACTTTATTGAGTTTATTTCATCGCTACATCACCAGCTAAAGGTAAGCGAGAAATTTTCATTTAGTTTGATTATTCTGGAAGCTATACAAGAAGTATTAGGCTATGATAACTTGATTATGTATAGTTTTGATTCATTTTAAAGATTGTATTAGCCTGAGGCAAGATGACCAAGGCAAGATGACGGACAAGTGGACATCGCAACACGTGTTTTACTAATAATTATATGAATGTTGTTTCGTTAACTTAAATTTTGTTAATTAAAATGTTGTTTCTAATTTAAAATAATAGGCAAAATTATTATAAAATAACTTAAAATAATATCGTAAATACTAATTGTATTACTTTTTAAAAAAATAAGAATTTGTTAAATAATATCGTAAATACTGTTTATATTACTTTTTTTTATAAACAAAAATTTGTGATGATGGTTTTTGAGGCGTTTATAGCTGCATAGAGTATTCTCTTTTTAAAGTCATAAACTTTGTTAACTCAAATTGTCATTTTGCGTATACGGGGCAAGATGACGATTTGAGTTAACATTTATTATTTTTTTTTATTTATTTATTTGAGTTTTCATGCTATATTTTTCTATACAATGTTCTTATGTCCGAAGATATTGTTGGCTTAGCATAGGAACAGCCACAAATAGTCAGTAAGACTAATCCAAAGTAGCGTCCGTTATTGACCATCATTTTTTCGTACCGAAGTGCTACTCAAGCGCTGAGTTGGCGGTGGCGGGATTTGAACTCGTATCGTTCAACAGTCCGAGTTTTCACTTTCCTTTAAAGCTCTAACCATCTGAGCTACCCCGCCACATAATTCATTAGTTTTCCCTCAGCTTTTTTTAACTTTTGGAGTAGTTTTTTTTTATCTAAATCAAGTTTTAATTCTTGGGACATTTTTTGAATAAGATAAAGGTGTTTTCCAAAACGTTCGTCATCTTACCCCGTGTTCCCCTACTGTCGTTTTACACAATAAAGTTTAAAAATATTACAGATTATAGGGGAATGGTAAACAATTTGCAAGTCAATGCAGTCAAAGTTTATGCTGCCAGGGAAGATCATTAGTTTTTTTTAAACTCTTCATATTTTTTCTTTTTTCTTTTACCTTACAAATATATAACTAAAGTACAAATATATAACTAAAGTACAAATGTATAACTAAAGTACAAGCAAAAACGAACTAACGAAAAACTATTGTTGAGAGCAAAAATACTTTCGAGTTATGAAAAAGCATTTCAAAAAAGTGTTTTTGATTGAATTACAGCAAATAAAAGAGACGATTGATACGCTATAAAGGAGCTAATTTCTCTTATTAACCCTGCTTATTAATATCATTAAGACTATTGTTTTTTTCACATTTGTAGTGTTTGGAAAGTTAGATATAGTTTTTCAAAGCATTCAAATGCACTCAAGAAAAAAATAACATTGACTTCAACTTTATGATAAAAGATTTTAATATTTTTCAATTGCGTTGTCTAAGTTTTTTGATTATTATCACAAATATTTTTGGCAATTGGTAGCAATGAGTTGAATATGACTAAATGAATCAATGTCTTGAACTCTTTATGATGCTAAATACTTATGCTTTTGGTTAAATGTGCGGTCGTCAACTTTCTGGTGTAGACTTTTAGTTTGTTCTCATGTGAAATACAAAATTCATGCATTGACGTTAAAATTTATGTTGTAGGTGGAGGAATTTATATATATTTATTTTTTTTAACTTAAATTTGCGAAAAATATTTCAATAATGATTTTCCGAAATTCTTAAAAAAAAAATAAAGCAAAATTATGTAGAAATTTAAAAAAAAAAATTAATCAAGTTATAAAAAAATATTATTTTAGATTTTAATGAATAGCAATTGAAACTAAAAATGAAAAAAAAAAGATTTTTTAATAATGATTTTTTTTTGATAATGTTTTTTATAAAATAATTTTTATTTTTGAAATTTTTTTATATAATTTGATTTGAACAAGCGCTGTTAGCAGCCAGTTGGTTGTGGAATAGCACATCCAAGCGCTGTTAGCAGCCAGTTGGTTTCCAAACTCTTATACAGTTCAAGATGCAATGGAAAAACTTCAGACAGTTATTGGCCAAACTCCCCGTGTAGCAGAAGTTATTGCTTCTGATGTGATCAAAATGAAATTTGCAGCACCTGGAGATGGAGGCTCAGTTGCTATTTTAGCAACAAGAGGGAGAGATTTAACAGTCGGAAAAAGTGTCAATTCTCAAAAATTAAGAGTATGTTTCCGTTTGAACCCTGTGTCTGCTGAGGAAATCAGTAGATTGCAGTCTACATTAAGTCTCTTTTTGAAACAAACTCACAAAGCAGCTACTTTTTTAAGAACTTGGATTGGTCGCAAATTATTTAAATCAGGTTTGGTTGGAATATTAAGTCAACGAGACAAAACACTTGATTTATTCTACAATTCTACAATAATGGACTTTGATGTTTTCAATGGTGATGAACAAAGTGGAAAAGCTCAGCGCTATCGGAAACAGGTGCTTACAAACGAAATTTGGATTATCCATAATACAGTAAAAAACTAAAGAATTGTGTCATTGCGTATTGCTCAAGGCATCTCTAAAAGTCGATAGTGAAAAACTAGTCAAAATTTGTAACTTTGTTGAAATTTAAGAACCCTTTAAAGAAGATAATAAAAAATTTCCAAATTTTGATCTAAAGAATATAGAAAAATGTAATCTTTTTTATTAAAAAATGTTATGTTCTATTCCATAGTTTAATGATATAAAGAATAGCTTTAAAAATTTGATGTCAATAAATAGTCTAAGGTAAAAGTAGAAAAAATAAATTTACAATGAACTTTTTTAGTATTTTTCTATTTTTATCTCTGGGTTACTAATGCTTATGATTAAATTGTATTGTTCTTTCGATATGGGTCTGATTTATTGTTATTATTTCATTAATAGCAATTATTTTCATAATTGTTATTAATGAAAATTAAAAAAAAATTTACAACTTTAAATAATCTAGAACATTTTTTACAAAATAAAGCAGCCGAGAAATATAGTTTTTTGAAGAATTTTGATGAAAACACTAAAATGGTCTTAACTTTCTCGGACGTCGCAAAATACTTTTCAAAGATTGTTAAAATCATGTCTATGCATATACCTTAGACCTTGTACAAATATATATATATATATATATATATATATATATATATATATATATATATATATATATATATATATATATATATATATATATATGCATATATATATATATATATATATATATATATATATATATATATATATATATATATATATATATATATATATATATATATATTCGCCTTGTCGAAAAAGAAAGAGGCTTGAATCTCGTAGTTAAATGCTCTTATTTGATTAAAATGATATATAAAAATAAAAAATAATATTTAAAATCCAAATTAATTTTAACTATCAATCAAAACTTTTGCGTTATTCAGTTTGAATGTTGTTTTATTTTTATCAATAAAAATATTAACGACTTAAACTGTTAGATGGATATCAAATCTATATTTTTATATCTATATCTAGGATATCTATATTTTTGTTTACTTCGTATATTTCGAACTTTATATTTATGATATTTATGTTTGTATATCTTTACCGTCAATCTGTGATTGGCTACTTGTAAATACTTTTGTAGTTGTAAAATAAACTTGTAATAAAATAAAAAAATCATTACAAAGTGCATAAAGATTCAATAGGTATAAGGGTGTGCGAAACGTCAAGACAAATTTTCAAATTTGAATTACGCGTTTTTTTGCAGTACAAATGTGAACATTTTGCGTGGAGAAATTTAAAAAAAGTTTTTTGAAACAATAATAAAATAATTTTTAAAAATATTTTTATAGTAAAAAATGGAACTCAAGAAATCAGAGGTTGTAAAGAAAATGAACGGAATATTAAATATATTTAATGTCTACAAATTCCTAACAGATATTTAATGAGAAGGAGACGATTTTTGGAAAAAGGTTGGCCGAAAATGAACCAGAAGATCCAAAAATATTGTAAATGCAGTAAATTGCGACGTAATTTAAACTGCTTAATTTCAAAACTTGCAGGAAAAGCAAAACATTTTATACGATTGATGCAAAGACTTATCCATGCAGATTTAGACCTAAAGAGTTTTGTAAAAAACAAACGATAGCTCCAGAGTAAAGTAACAAAAGAAGAACAAAAAAAAAAACAAGCGAGAGAATCAATACAATAACAGGATTATCAAAAAGTCCAGAGAAGACATCTTAGTTGAAGACAGAACCAAAGATACAGCGCCCTGCAGGGTTTATGGTTTGAGCCGGAATCTGCTCTGACTAGTCTTTAACTCCTTTAGTTTTTGTTCCAGTGGGGGGAAAAATCTACTCAGAAGTCTATATTTCATTTTAAAGAAAACATTTGCTTACCTAGTCCAAGTAAAAGTTCTAGCAAAAGGAATGGGCTCTGCAACAGCGTTTTGAAAGCCAAGAAAACTGTCAGTTTTTTCAAAATGAAACTCCTC